ATTATAAAATATAATATAGAGCTAAAAATAAATATATACTAATATAGGAAAAAAAATAAATTCTATTACAGTATAAACTATATACTAATAAAATAAACAAAAAAAAATTATAAAAAATCTCTAAATTTTTTGTAAATCTGGTTTTGAAAAAAAATATATTAAAAAAATGAAAAATAATATAAATTTATTTAATTTTAAAAGATATAGACTAGAAATATAATCTAAATAATATTAAACCAATAGTACTAATTAAGACTTTTAGAAAAATAGTTATAAAAATAATAATAAAAACATTGATTATAGTATTTACAAAAAAAGAAATACTTAAAAGACCAACTTAACAGAATAACCAATACATGATAATAAAAAAGATACAAAAAAAAACAAAAAGATATAAATATTTTTATAAAATATGAAAAAGATATTTAAATAGTCTTATTAAAAAGTCTAGAATAAATTTTAAAAAAATTAAAATATTATAAAAAACAAGAGAATATATAATTAAATTTTTTTATAAATAATATTTAAAGTTATTATAACTTACAGTTTGATAAAAAAAATAAAATAGAAGATAAAATAAACTAAAAAAAAGTAATATTACTTTTAATTTAACAATTTTTTTATAATTTATTGTTGAAAAAAATTTAAAATGAAGCACTAAACTATATAGTAAAGTTGAAATTACTAAAAAGAATATATAGCAACAATATTACAAAATATAAACAAGCAACAATTATATATATAGATATTATAATATATATTGTAAGTAACAAAAAACAAATAAGAGATATGATGATCTAGTGAAGTGGTTAAGTTGTCAACCTCCTAAGTAGTAGGTTGGATGTTCAAATCTTATTAATAGCAAAAATTTAAATAATCATCTATGTAATATTAGTATTATAACAACTGTTACTAATAATTAGGTTAGAATATCTGTAATAACAGTCACACTAGTATGACTGGCAGGTCATAAAGAATCTGTGCAATGTTAGAGTTATATAAAGAAATGCAAACTAACAAATCGGGTAGTGCAAATACTAAATAAGTTCTTGTAGCCATATAAATTTGTTAAAATTAAGTAACAAGAAGTTCATTTGAGAAGACCCAAATAGAGAAGTAGCTGAATCTTCAATGATCCTACTGTAAAGATTAACCTAGCAAAACAGATATCAAGGTTTAATACTCAGTTGTAGTAACTAAATAGACAAAAACCTCTAGGTTAAGAGTCTTGAGAATATTATCAACCAGATCACCAGAACGAACTAAAGAAAAAAGATATTGGACTGATTCAATATACCAATGGACTGAACATAGTTCTATATGAGCTATCTGGATTAAGAGTTTAGTAAAAAGGTAGAGGAAAAGGTAGGAGTATACTAAAAGTACCAGAATTATGCTATAAAGTAGATGCTAAGTTCTAAGTGAACTCTACAAGGACATAACAGTTTAATAGTTAACCCTAACTACAAATGTTGGTTCTATCATAATGATATCTAGGTCAAATATAAAAATAGGTACAAAAGACTCTAGGTAGTTTATTTTAAGAATAAATTAATTCCAAGGTTAAGATGATAATCTGAATATTTGAGTATAATCCAATGAATTAATACAAATTATAGGTTTAGAGAATTTAAAGTAGAACACTCAAGTAGAGATGTTAGATATGACAATTGGTAGGAAATCTTTAGGTGAACTTCTTAAATAGGTAATATAGAAAAATTATATGTGTAGTCAATTGTAGTGGTTTATTGAACTACAATACCAATAAGTGATTAATAAAAATCAAAAAGACTAAAGAGATCACCTTAACAAAAAAAAACAAAAAACAAAAATTAAAAATTCTTAAAATTGCAAAAAGGTTTTTAAAACCAATGATATCAAAATAAACAAATCTAAATCAAAGCTTATAATAATGAACATGAAATTTAAAAAAGAAAAAAAAAAAACTTTAATCAAAATAAAATAGTAAAAAAACCAAAGAACAAAATTATAAAATTATTAAAAATCTGACTAAATAGCAAAATAAGAAAATCACTTCTGTTAATTTAGGTTACAGATAAATTGTCTAAGTTTTTATTCTTTTTTTAATATTTTAAAACCAAAATTATACTTTATATAAAATCTCAATAAAATATTCAATAAAGATAGAAGCATAACCTTATCATTAATATTGAAAAAAATAAAAATAAATCCAAATTTAAATAATTTAACAAGTTATTCCTTTTAATGTTATGAAAAATTACAACAAATATATTGTTACTATCAACACATTTACTAACTTTGCTGTATACTTGTTTTTTACTGCAAACTCTTTGTAAAAAAAAAACAAAAATAAAGCAAAGTTTAATCAATTGATCGGCAATTAAACAACAAATATATATTATCTATATTTTTTTAAAAAAAGCAATTTTGTGACAACTAAAAAAGCGTTGATGATACAATACACTTGGCATACTTTTTGTATACAAAAATAAAATGCAAAGTTTAGTCGATTGATTGTCAATTAAACGACAAAAATATATGATCTATTCTTTTTTGATATGAAAGGTATGCCAAGTGTTATCATCAACGTATTTACTAGTTTGCTTCACAATCGTTTTTCAAGAGCGAAGTTTAGTTAATTAAATGACAAATATGTATGATCTATTCTTTTTTGACATGCGGAAAGTACGCCAAGTGTACTTATTGTTTTTTTCTACAATTGCTTTTTTTAATTCATATATAACCCGATTTGACCCGGGTTAGTTTAGTTATATAGAGCCTTTTCGCATTTATAAAACTCGATATGCATTTAATAATAAGCTTATTCGTTTTAAAACAAAGTAGACAAGCAAATCAAAAACTTAAAAGAAATTAAAACCCTTAAATCATGGCAACTTTTCCAACTTTTTAGATAACCATTCTTGCCATTGTGCAAGGGTCCATCCAGAACTAATACTATCATCAATAAGCCCATCAAATAAAACAGTCGGACTAACATGAATACCGTTCTGACGACCCAACTTGATGTGCCATTTAAGATCAGCACTTACTTTATTCCCCTGGTTGCGAGCCTCAGAAACGGTGGAAGTTGTCGGGATGTCGATCAATGATATGAATTGATCAGACGAAATTCCGATCAAGTTTGCATGTCTTGCTAGAGAGTTATTGATCTGTGAGCGAGTGAGAGCCTGAACAGATTCGTCAAAATACCTGTTGTAGCATATACAAATTATAAGACTGGTAATTTCTCCAGTTCTAAAAGTAAACAGTTATTCATACTCTTTCTGAACTTCAAACAATTTAGCTGAAAAATCCAAGAATTGGCTTTTATCAATCCTTTCTACGGCTAAGGCAGCCTTCGTTAAAATATTTATATTAATAAATATCTTTCGGAATATCATCGGTAACTTTGAGTTCCCCATTCTCATAATTCTCTTATATAACAAGTAAACACACCTCGTGAACAATACTCGAGCATGGATGCCAAGGTTGCACTTGCTGACGGAACAAAAATTGGATTTGTCCGGGATATTCTTTTTCGATAAAAGGGAACACTTCCTGTAGTATTAAAGCCAACAAACGATCTAAGTTTCGTGACATATCGCGTGGTTATCAAAAGCTTTATACATACGTTCCGAAGTCTCATAAACAATCTAGCCGAAAATGGACACTAAATAAAATTAACCGGAATTGACGCGTTGGATGTAAAGAAAAAAAACCATGCATAGAAGACAACAAACCACATAATCTAAGTAAGCTTCCAAAACGTGAGGTGCGGTGCTTACGCCCCAGCGGTGACCTTCGGAGAAATTTCAGAAAAATTTTATTGTTCTTAAAAGAGTGACAGTCAAGGAAAACCTGTAAATCATGCTTTTTGAATATTTACTTTAAATAAAATCTCTTAAACTCATGTAACCTAACAATTATTATTTTATTATTAGAATTGCCCTTAATGAAACGATTCGAGTGACATTAAAATCTTAAGTATTAATTACTTGGAATTTTTTGATATTTCTACTAAAAGTATATATCCAGAAAGTATTATTTACAGGTTTTCCCTGACTGTCACTCAAAAACTTTTAACGTAGATAATGCTTACCTGCAAATTGAGGTGCGAGAGCCATCGCGAGAAAATTCTAAATCCTGATTACGTATTTAATTATTATTTATGCTGATACAAACTCAAAAAGGGTAGTACCCTATATAGTACCCTAGCCATGGCAAAAAAAGTGAGTAACGTCTATACATGCTGGTAAAATTCAAATCCCAAATATTGGTCGTCTCATTAAGCATGATACACCAACTTGATACATTTGAATTAAAATGTAATTACACAAAATTTTACATA